GAGTGGGGTCTCCAGAGAGAGCAAGCAGACTTGGCAGCACGCCAGCCGTGTTCACACCAAGCACACTCCAACAGGCGTGTGACCTTTCCTCTTTAACCTCTTGATTGTATTTTTTTGTGGGGGGGGAGGGGCTGGGGAGGCAGCAGGCACATGTGCTTGCCAGAGACAGACAGAGAGAAAGAGAGAAAGAGAGAATGAGAAGGCAACCCCTATGAGAGATGCAGTCTCTTCTCCTCCATTCTCCTCTCGGGATTTTGGGCACGCACACACACCGGTCCGGCATGTTTTTCGAGCTGCCAGGTCCAGGACTTGAACCATGCAGTTGGTCGTGGGATCCAGTTGCCTTAACCACCATGCCAACGGCTGGCCCACTACTATCTTTCTTTCTGTTAATCTACCAGAGGGCACATATATTTACCGGAGGGAGACAGACACAGAGAGAAAGGGAGAGGCAGAGAGCCCTCCCGCCCAGCATGCTCACACTGCAGTCCATTCTCCATCTCTCTCTCTCTCTCTCTTTGGGATTTCAAGCACACAGGCACACACCCAGCATGTTTTTCAAGCACTGAGGCCAGGATCCAGAGTATGCCATCAGCCATGCGGGATCCAGCTCCCTTCACCCCCAGGCCCCAGAGCCAGCCCAGTCTCTTGAGTTTGAAGCACCAGCTGCAGGAAGTGAGGGGCTGGTGCTCTGAAGAGCACTCCGGGCTGGAGCCAGGCAGTCTCCAGTCGTGGCACACCTTCAGTGCTCGAGGCCCGCTGACCTCATACCCTCAGTGCTCCTTACTGTGGTGGGGCTGGCGGACTGTCACCACCCCCCTTTCACAGATGAGCAAGTGGGCTCAGAGCGGTTGTGGCGCTTGCCTAAAACCACGCAAGTAGCAGTAACGATGGGCCCAGCCATGGTGGCCCACGCAGGAGGACAGGGCTATCGGGGCTGAGGCTGCACAGGAAGCCCAGGTTCACTCCCCACCCAAGCTAAGGAGGCTGGGTGCAGCGGCACGGGCTGTGGCCCGCACTACTTGGGGGGTGAGCAGGAGGATCTCAAAGCGACAAGACCCAGTAGGAGAAAGGACCTCTCTCTCTTGCATGAAAGGAAAGGAAATAAGGAAAGGGAAGTTGGGGAACCACTCACCCAGGAGAAATGAAGCCCTTGGTCTGCAGGCATCGTCTGAACCTCCAGGCCAAGGTCAGGAGACTGCTCCCTGCGTGACCTCAGGGATCTCAGCGCCCTCTCTGTGCTCAGCTTCCTTATCTGCAAAACACCAAGGCTGGGCTTGATGCTCTCTCAGGCCCTGCAGCCTCACCCTCCTGTTCCGCCTGCAGGAGACCAGGGTGGCAGAAACCGGCCGCCACGCAGTTGAGCACCTGATGTGTGCGGTACCTAGTCCCAGGAAGAGCCCAGGGGAAGGCATGGCCTATGGCCACCTTAGAGCATCCCAGAAAGGGAGAGGCTGGATGTGCAGGGCCGCTGCACCAGCGCCGGGAGGGCAGGGAGCCGAGCCAAGCAGCGGGCCTTGTCGCTCTGGCATATGCTCCTCATTTCATACCTCATTTGCAAGGAGCTGCAGCCATTTTGCAAAGTCTCTTCCTGCTCCAGAGTTTCTGGGCTTTGGCTCCTGTCTTTTCTGCTCCCGCTCCTGCCCTTTGCGCCGTCCCCTCTGCTGCCACCTGCAGCTGTGCACAGAGTCATCCTGGAGATTGGGGAGACGAGGCTGAAGTAAGGGGAGGGGGGTCACCTCCCCCAGACAAGCTCGAAGGAATGAAGTATGTGCATGACCCCAGCTCCTGAAAGACGTGCCCAGGAGGGCCAAGCTATAACGTGCACGGTGTGTCTGGGAGGGTGTCTGAGTGACAAGCAGAGGATCCTAGGATGGTGCACCCAGTAACGGAAGTAGTGATTGCCTTGGGATCCACCGACAGCGTGAACCGACCAATCAGCTGTCCACGAGGGACCACTATGACACAGTGATGTGAAGGACCCCCTCTGCATGTCGGAGCAGCACTGCCAGGTTGGCTGTGGGGGTGCCTCGCCGTGTTGGAAAGGCTTGGGGATGTGGTGGCCCTGGAGACACGGACAATGCGTCTCCAGACATGGGACCGAGCCTTGTCTCCAGGGCTCAGCACGTAATAGCTGCTTGGTGACTATTTGCCAAGTGGTGAATGAATGAACAGCATGAATAATACTACACCCTGGGCCCAGGGACAGGCCCCAGTGTCGCCAAGAACTCCTCCCAGCACCACCTCAGGGCTGGCCCAGGACATAAGGACCACGGGTACAATGGAAATGGGCCGCCTGCCCCCAAACATCACTCCTCCTACTCTCCGTCCCTCGGTCCTCTTTCACTCCGGCTCTGGGGTCTGAGATCCCATGGTGAGCCCCATCTGAGCCGGGCTCACAGGGCACAAGCTCTCCACTCTCCACTCTGCCTCTGAGGCTGAGCAGCAGCTTAGAGCCTCAGAGATGGGGAACTCGGAGCTCTGGCTTCCACCTACCCCCCCACCCACCCGGACAAAGCTGTTTGGCTACAGCAGCCAAGGAGCCTGTTGAGGTCATGTCAGGTCAATCTGGCAGATGCCCACCCACACCACCACCCTTCCCTGGGTGCCCACCTCCAGCTCTCTCCATCCTGACCCCCAGGGAGGGCCAAGGTGGACCAGTGGAGCCCTGAGCAAGAGCGTCCGGGTTGGAGTCACCAAGGACCAGCTGTGCGGACATGTGCTCGGCACTGGAACCACAGTGGGCCCAGCCAGCCAGGTCCCCGCCCATGGCACTGACATGCAGTGGAGAAGAAAGGCCACGAAGGGTCAGTGTCTCGGGTGGCAGGAAGTCCACTAAGGACCACAGAGCAGGGCTGCCTGTCCTGCTGCTCTCCTGCCTCTGTCCTGCCCTCCCCTGGTGTCTGCACTGTACTCCAGGAGCTGAGCCTGTGGGCTGCATCCAGGCCTCCCCTGCTGGTGGCTTCCAATGGGAGACCCTGGCAGGAAATCAGCAAGAGTAGAGCCAGTCCGGGTCCCTGCTTTGTTCCCCAGGTCTGCTGGTGGCTGTGGCCCTCCATCCTTCTGTGACTCCAGCTCGCCAGGCTCTGAGAGCTCCTGTCCTCCTGGGGCCCCACCAGCCCATGTGCTGGCGGCTGCCCGTGGGTGCTGGTCACTGGGACCCTGATCCCGATCCACAGCTCTCTGGACTCCCTGAGCGCCCCTCGCTCTTCCTGCCGGGCCCGGCCTGCCTTGCGGGCAGCTGTGACAGTGTGCTGGGAGACCAGAAGTGGACAGGGCAGGCAGGGACAAGGAACAGAAAGACGGCCAGTGGGGCTGGGAGCAGTGAGCAGTGAGCGAGGGGAAGCCAGAGAAGATGAGTCAGGGGTGAAAGGCAGAGTATTCAGCGACTGGCTTGGCATAGGCCCCGCCCGCTCAGAAGGGACCCCTGCTGCAAACCACGGCTGCACCAGCTGAATGAGCATCCTGATGACAGAGAGGAGGGCAGGGTCCCCGGGATGCACGAAGCTGGGCCAGGGGAGGAGACTTAATAAGGGACTCCTCAAACAGGCATGAGCAGGGCAGTCACAGGTGGCGCAGAACTCTGGGGTCGCATCAATCTCAAGCAAGAGGATGTGGGGAGGGAGCCATCACTAGAAGCAGGTACCATTGGGTAAAGATGCGGAGACATTTCATGAGGAATGCACAAGGCACAATGGCTTCCGGTGAAAGACCAAGGAAACCAACATCCCAGCCGGCTCTCCTCCATCCCACACCGTTCTCCTTCGGGACACCCACTGCAAACACCACCTAGGAGCCAGAGAAGGTCACGTAGGCCACCCCAAAACCTGCAGAGGGGGAGACTGGTGGAGCCTCGACCTTGAGCCGGTGGAAAATGGCCAGCCCTCGGATCACATAGACACTAGAAGTCATGGAAGAGGTTTTGCTCTCAGCCGGACACAGTGGGGAGTACTGGGAGTAACAGTGACAGTGACAGTGACAGAATCTTGTTCAGGCCTTCGGTCTCCACCAGAGGAGGTGATGGGACAGAAGCCGCTCCCAGAGCACTTTGCGATGGTGGTTTGGAGGCAGGAGGACCCTGCACTTGTCCTGGGGATCCAAGCCACCTAGGAATAATCAGCTCAGAGCCCTGGGCCCCGGCCTGCAGTAGGCAGGCCCACCAGGCCCTGTGTCCACATGCAGGGCACAGGGGAACACTTGAGCATGGTGGAACTTGGCGTTCCTTCTCCAGGTAGGCAGCCCTCCAAGGCTCTCATGGAGAAGCCACTGCAGAGCTAGGGAGGAGCGACAGGGAGCAGCAGAAAGCCTTCCTGGGCCCAGCCCTGCCCAGCCGAGACAGAGCAGGTATCAAAAGCCTGCCATGTTCCTCCCCACACCACCATGAGGGCTAACAGATGCAGAAGAGAGAAGGGACACGAGCAATGCATGCCTGCCTGCGGGGTGGCCGGGTGCTGGGCCCCAGGGGTGAGCATGGCAGGCTGGACAGAGCCTATCATCTGTAGCTTACCAGCCTCAGACCCTGCAGGACTCCCAAATGAATCTGAGGACTGAACTTCCCACAGCTCAAACGCCAGGGTCACAAACACCCCTAGACCTGGACTCAGAAGTCCAGGGTTCGAATCACAGCCCACAGGCAGCCAGTGCACGGAAGGCACCTTCGTTCCTCAGCTGACCCACTCGTGAGCCAGCACTGGCTCTGCACCATGCCCACTGTCTTTGCTCGCAAGGCCTCAGCAAGATGAATCAGGCCTCGTTCCTACTTCTCAGAAGAAACCAGGGCTCAGAGTGATAAAGTCCCTCACCAGTCCTGCAGCTGGTCAGTGTGGAGCCAGGAGGCAGGCCCAGGTCTCTGGTACTGAAAGCTCCAGTCCTCTGTCCCCAGACCTCCCATCTAAAGGGAGAAGGATGGCTCCAAAGCCTGGGCTCCGTCTGCAGTTGCTGGAGTCTGCAGAAAGATCTCATGCGCCCTGGGCTCCGTAGTCCCTGGCCTTCATTACTACGGCGCTCACTCCTGGCCTCACAAGACCAAGGCTGGGTCCTTCCTGATTCATTCCTTTAATCAGGACAAAGCGGTGGTGGTGGCTTCCTGAAGACACTCAGATCCTTGTTAAAATAAAGTCACTGCTTTAATAACCATGGGATAGAGGAGGCTGGAGCCAAACTACAGAGACTCTCAGCATTCCCCTGGGCCTCGGTGAGGGGCCGCACAGCTCCAGGGCACACCCACACCTGCACTCTAAGCTGAGGCCTTCCCTCCTCTCTCCCAGGCACCTCTAACAACCAGCAGGTGAGCACAGTGCCCTGCAGAAACTTCCTAGAGGTGTGCATCTACGGGGCCTGGCTCGGCCCCAGAGGTGGGCTCCAGGGCCGATTTTGTACTTTCCCTCTCACTGTCTCTCTCTCTCCAATGAGTGCACTGCACCCTAAGGCAAAAACCTCTTTAAAAATAGATCAGCAGATGGCATAATGGTTACATTGCTGGGTTCCCATGTAGTCAACCAGTTCAAGTCCTGGCCCCGGTGGCTTAAAATACACTAGGCACATGTGCGTGTGTGCCCAAAATCTCGAGAGAAGACTGGAGGAGGAGGGACTGAGGCGTGGCCATCCCACCTGGGGGTTGATTTCTCGCTTTCTGTCTCTCTGCCTTTCCCACAAGCATACGCACCCTATAGCAGAAAACAACAACAACGAAAAACCTCTCTAAAAAAAGCACTCTTAAAAAACTCTGGAAGCTAACACAGCTCAGAAAGGCTACATGATGCCCAGGCCCCACAGCCAGCTGGGGAAGCACAGGGTCTTGAACCTAAGTCTATATAGAGTTTGAACCTGAGTCTATATAAAGCTAAAACCCAGCTCTACACTTTCCACTCATCACGTGGTTTCAGTGTGTCTTCTGTGGGTGCTGAAAAGGCACCCATTCCCGGGACAGGTGCAGTCTCCCCCAGGAAGACACACTTACCACCGTCACTCGCCAGCTCTGAGATCTGAAGCAAACGGCCCACTCGTCTGTGCTTCGAATTCTCCATCTGTCATACGGGACATCAGGTCAGTGTGAACCTTGAACGCGATAACAAATGGGAAATGCTCTGTGAATTGTAAAGTGTTTTGCACATCGAGGGTATGAGGGCGTTGGCAAAAAGGCAGTTTCCAGCAGATTTTAGGGCAGGGGTCAGAAGCAACAGAGCCGCACAGCGGGAGGGGTGTGGACTGGGACATGCAGAGTGCAGACTGTCTGCTGGCAGAGAAGTGCTCAGAGCCCTGGGAGGCGGAGCTCGAGCCGGGGGAGGAGGAGCCAGGAGAGGAGGACTCTGGTTGGACCTCACGGGGCTGGGACATGGGGACTCCTGGGGCACCAACAGCAGGAAGAAGCAAGAAGGGGCCAGGTCGGTGCCTCCCAATGTCCAGGTCTCTCCCCCTCTGAGCCTCGGTTCCTGTCTACGCGGTGGAGATAAGATACCACGTCTGCTCCCACCGCCGTGATGGGGGCTGGCGGTGCTCTGCACCTCCGTGGCCTGACGCAGCAGCCCTCATAAACGGGTTCCTGGGTCGTTGGCTGGTTATCTCCTAAAGTCTCTGAGTCTGTTTTCTCGGCTGTGAAGTGGAAATCATCCGGCCGCCCGGCAGTGTCCTTGCGAAGCTAAAAGGTCGTGGTCCATGTGAGACAGTCAAGCACAGGGCCAGCGCAGTCTGTGCCCACTGCCCTCCTCTTTCCAACCCCAGGAAGAGACATGCACCTACAGATAGGTGTGGTAGGGGCCAGCAGGGGGCACAGAGGTTAAGGCACTGGTTCCCACATGGCGTACTGAGCAGTTCCAGTCCCACACCCAGCGCTTTGAAAAACACACCAAGAGGAGAATGGAGAAGAGACTACAGCATGAACGTCCCCCAGTGGGTATTTTCTCACTCCATCTTCTCTCTCCTCTCTCTCTCTCTCTCTCTCTCTCTCTCTCTGGCGTGTGCACACGCCCTATAGCAAAAACTAAGAAATAATTAAAGATAAAGGAACTGATAAGCATGTTAGGAAGACAGGCTTTGGTTTCTTTCTAAAGCTTCCAGCTTCCCTTGAAAGGTAGTGAGCTCCCCAGCCCTGGAGACACCCAAGCAGAAGAGAGGTCATTCTGGTGCAGGGAGGCAGATTTCCGTCATAGAGCCGGACCCAAGGCCCACAGCCCTTCCAGCGTGGAGGCTGCCTGGTCCTACCACTCTGCGGGTTCTGGTGTAATTGGGCTGCCTGGTGCTGGCCCGCAGTCAGAGGCTGTGAGCTGAGTCCTAGGTCAGCTTCCTTCGCCAGGACCCGCTGTGGCAGGGGAACAATAAGCCTCTTTTCCGCCTCCTCCACCGCCCTCCTGCCCAAGGCTCACGAGTGGACATCTGCAGGAATACTGCAGCCCTCCCCTGCAGTCTCCTCAAATGAGGAAGAGGGAAGAGGCTCCCAAAAAGTCAGAAAGAGGCTGGCCAGTCCTGATGCTGAGGGGCACCCCAGAGCACCCTAGGGCTTGGAACGGCTCCACACTACAGCCCTTGCCCGTCCCGGCAGCCCTGGGCCCAGCCCTGCAGGTGTGTTTGGGGAAGTACATCCCAAGTCTCACCCTGTACATGTTCCCTGGCTCAATTACAGGCTCAATTTTCTTTTCTGTTTAATCCCCAAATCAATATGTGTTCATACATATTTAATCGGGCGGCTGTTTTTATTAGAGTGGGGATTAGTTTTACATCTTTCTCACCACTGCTTAGAAGACATCCGCCACTCACAAGAAAGACGAGTAGATTAATGAGGAAAAGACCCACGCATGGGCTGGCCTGGCACCCCCAGCCAAGTCAGTGAGGCTGAGAGAAGCCCCCTGGGCCCGCCATCCCTTCAGCATGGGGAAGGTCCTGCTGCATCCCAGCATCTTCTCCAGGGCTGCCCTGCAGCCCTCCCCACCCTCCCCAGTCCCTGCTGTAGATCCCTGTCCAGGGGAGCTCTCCAGAGCCCTTCTAGACTGTTCCCAGGACCCAGGAGAGCAAGGGCAGCTCCCTGTTAGAGGTCAGAAAGGGGAGGTCACCCTCAGCCCCACCTTCCAGAAGTAATAGATTTCTCCTTCCAACTCCGAGTCAAGGCTACACAGAATAAATTATCACCCTTTCGCAGCGTAATCACTGTCACACTTAGCCCCAGCTGCCATCTGCTCCTTCCCCAGAATCCCTACCTCGCCAAGCTGGGAGGGGGAGGACACGTGGACATGTAGGTCACTGTGCTGGCCAGAGGACAAGGGCAAGGACACTCTGGAGCCTGGAGCAGGAGAGAACAGGGCTGGGCAAATGTCTTGGTTCCAGTGACAATAGGCAGAAGGGGGCATTTGCCACACCTCACCTCATTTAATCCTTATCCCATTTTTGTCCTCTGCATTTTCAGAGGAGGAAACTGAGGCTCAGTGTGATTCGAGGTCTTGCCGAGAAGAAGTGGCAGGTCCTGGACTTGAGCCAGGACCACGTGGCCACGGGCTGTTGCTGGGATCCGCTCGGCTGAACACGTTTTTCTGAGTGGAGAAGGGAAGACTGTGGATTAGAAATAAACGTAACAACAAACACTCAAAGACACACAAGCATAGAAAAGCGAGGATCAGATGGGCCCTGCTACTCTGATGGAGAAAGCCACAACCCAGAACCAGCCTCAGGTTTATCATTTTATAGGGCAAAAAATGGGGGAAGAGGAAACGGAATGCAAAGCCAGTTGTTTTTGGATGTAAATCGTCTGAAGATGTGAAAATGACTGGCACCAGTCATTTTCATTTGGGGTGAAATCTGATCAACAGATGTGGCTTCTTTTAACCTCATACTGCCCTGCAGTACTGGGCGTCAACAGCAGGCAGACAGCGTATTCGTATGTAAATGCTCTCATAGCCATTACTACAGAACCTCCCTGAGCTTGTTTCTGCATGCAGCTAAAGGTCACTTGTTTTCTCAGAGGGGTCACTCTCCACAGCCCATGCCCTCCACTGCTTGTCTGCTCTACCGGGTCCTTCATTCTGCACAGATCCTCTCCTTCTCACACACGGGGTCACCTACAGTGACACCTATACTCAACAACATAGCCGTCCACTGAGGAAGCCGCAGACCTTGGGTGCAGTCAGTGCCACCCAGGGCCACCACCTCTGACCTCTACCCTTCCTTGACTTGCGACTGACATCCACTACGCAGCTCCACAGCTCTGTGCTCAGAGCCAGGCCTCGCAGACAAGCAGAACCAGGCATGATCGGCCTCTCACTCGGCCATCAGTCTCATAGGCCCGGTGTGCCCATCCAGATCCGGGAGGGCAAGCCCCTGCAGTGTTCTCCTTCCAGCCCAGGCTCCCGTCCACCATCAGCTCCCTGCAGCTCACCTTTAACCAGGTGCCCCCACACCCTCCAGGTGGGAAAGCCCTCCACTGCTCTTCCGGAGAGATCGAACCATTTGCAATGACTTGATCGCAGAACCCAAGCCTGCCGTACTCATCTGTGGATCTCATGCATCACTACGCTAGAGAACGAAAATTGGGGGAGGAAGGCAGAAGGGAAGGAGGAAGAAAGAGAGGAAAAGGGAGAAGGAGAAAGAACTGAAGGCAGAAAGAAAAGGAAAGGAAGAGAGGAGGTGTGATCAGGGCAAAAAGGAAAAATAAGGGGAGAAAGGAAGATGAAAGGTAAGAAAATTGGATCACTTTCAAAAGACCAAGCACACCCCCAGAGGCCCTCTGTTTCCCTCTTACTTGTTTTTAATGGCGGGAGAGCGCTGTGTGCTCCAGCGACCGAGAAGAAAGCGCCTCAGTAGGGCGTGGTCATGCTGCATCCATCGGGATTCTGAGCACACAGCATGCATGCCGGGCATGTTTTCCAAGCTGCCAGACCAGGATTTAAACCATGGTCAGCCATGTGGGGTCCAGCTCCTTTTGTACATGAGGCTACGGGCAGCCGAGCCTCCCTCTTTCTTACTCTGAGCTGAGGTTTGACTCGGCCCCCAGAAACCTGCTGAGAGGGTAGCAGGTGGGCAGACTGCAGCACGGGAGAAGGGCCTAGAAGGAATTTCCCAGAGCGAAGTCAGCCCCCACTGAACTGACCCGCTAGGAGTCCAGAGTCCACGTCTCTGCTCAAAGCTTCCAGAGGCAGAGAGAGGGGCGAGATGACTTTAGATCTAATGATTTCCTGCCTAATGACCCTGTGAATCTGACAAAAGATAGGGCCAACCCAGAAGTCCCCTGGCCAAGGGGCCCATGGCCAGTGCTCAGGGACATAGCACTTGGCTCTGGGCCTCAGCTCCCCTCCCCACCTGGACTCCCGTGAACCCTTTTCCACGTGCCCCTCAGGGTGGCCAGCTGCGGGGGCCCCATTCGACATGGGGGCCGTCTGGAGCCAGTACAGCTGGTCCCTACTCACTCTAACCACTTGGCAGCCCGCCTTTGACGGCGGATCCGTCCCTGAACAATACAGATAACGTAGGCAGTGTGATTCCTCATTTAGCTGTCAGATCAGAATAAAAAATGTGTAAGAGAGAAAACCCAAGGGGGAAAAATTGGATAATGATGAATTGTGACTGAACGCTCCAAAGAAACACAAGCCGTCCCCCCATCGTGTTGTGCCCACTGTCACTTAATGGAAAAATCTGAGTGTGCAGGGCCTTCTTAGCACTTTTTGGGGCTTCCTGAGAAGAGCCGGGTCCCCTTTCGTCAACAGTGTCATTTCCTCTGCAGACACAGCAGCACATCAAAGGCCAGGCAGACACGCGAGACAGGATGTCCCCCTGCCTCCACGCGCCGGCGCCTCTGACGCCACACCGAGGAGACGCCTGTGCATGGCAGCCTCCACCGTGTCATCACGATGCACTCTCAGGAGGAAAGGGAGGGACGAGGGAAACGATGATGCTGGTGCTGTGACAAGTGTCAACTCCGCCTGCGTCTAAAAGGGACTTGTTTTGCAAAACGGAACATTATCCAAATGTACAGACTCCTCCGGAGACTGAAGCAAGAAGGTTTCCAAGATCGGAAGTTGCTTGGCTGCCCCAGGGGGGATCGGAGTAAACCCTGGTCTCTGGGTGTTTGGCCACACCCCAGATTGGGTCAGGACTGGGCAGCCCTCACCTCTTTGGACCATGGCCCAGTGCCCTTTACCCAGGGAGAACCCAGGTGTGTCTCCCTGATGACCTCTAAGGACAGGCCAGTCGCCTGCTATCAGAGACAGTTTGGGTCTGAAGGCAAGCAGGACAAGATGGCCTTTAGGGAGACTGCCTGCCCAAGGATGACCTGTGGCTTCTTCAATACTGGCAAAGTTGGATGACATGCTGGGTGACCTTGAGAAGCTCCCTTCCCTCTCTGAGTGTCTGTTCACTTGCAAATAGGAGACTGGCCTGGACAACCTCCAAGTCTTCCCCAGGAGTTAAAGTCAGCAGTTTCCAGGGACTGCCTGGCGTGTGGGTTAAGAAATACCCACCAGGGACCAGCAGGTAGTGTAATAGTTATGTTGCTGGACTCACACATAGTTGACTACAGTTCAAATCCCAGACCTGGTGGCTTATAACATGCCCGATATGTGTGCATATGTGCCCAAGATCCTGAGAGGAGAATGGAGGAGAAGGGATTATGGTGTGGTCATCCCCACCCCGGGCGGGGGTGGGGGGTGGGGCGGTGATTGCTTGCATTCTTTCTCTCTGTCTCTCTGGAGAGCACATGAATCCAATAGCAAAAATCTCTCCAAAAAATAAATAAATAAATAAACCCACCAGGGGGCAGACTCCTCCAACCAAAGAACACACCAGGATGTGGCTCTTTTGATGGGAGGGGAGAATCAAATTCCATTCCCACAGAACATTCCAGTGGGAGTCAGAAATGGAGAGGGAACCAACAGCCTCACATCAACCCTAGGAGTCAGGAATTGAAATTCCCACTTTGGAAATGGGGAAATGGAGGCTCAAGGAGAGAGAGTAACTTGCCCAGAACCTAAGCACATGCCTGCCACACTCTTACCTCCTCTTCTGGTCCATCGCCCAACCTTAGGCCCACCTCCAAAAGACCTCTAGAGCCTGCGACCTCTCTCCATCCCCTTGCCACCACCCTAAGCCAAGCCGCCACCACCCTGAACTTACTGTTACAGCCTCCCCAACCAGCCTCCCTGCCTCCGGTCCAGTCTCCATCAGCCAACATCACGTCGGCCCCACTTAAACCTTCTGTGGGTCCAAGTCAGGCCCAGCTTCCTTAGCAGGGAGCTAAGACCATCTCAGTCCCTGTCACCTCTGTGCCTCATCTCGTGCCACTGCCCTCCTCTTAGTCCTCTCCAGCCATGACCCACCCGTACTTTTCCCCAAAGAGCAAGTTCACTTTGCCCCTGGTCTTTTACACTTGCTGTTGCCTTTGCCAGTGCACCCTCTCCTTTCCACCCAAGTGAGTTCTATCATCCTTCCAGCCTTCCCTTAAATGTCACCTCCCTCAAGAGCCTTCTGGGACCTCCACCCCCTCCACTCCCCCCACGTACACCGCCTGCCTCACACCCTACGGAAATAACCAGTGTGCCGTCTGAAACCCCCCTCCTCCCCCCTGCCCCCCAGCCCTTAACTCAGAGCCTTTGAGAACCACATCCGCCCTGCTAGTCATTGCATCCAGAGTACCCGGGACTATTGCTGGCACACAGTAGGCACTCAAGAGCTGTGTGCTGGCTGGGTGATTGAATAAAGGAATAAAGGAATGAGAGAATGAGCAGCGAGCCGGTGAGCGCTCCCCCTCGTATATCCAAGTGCGTAAACGGCACCGGGCGAGTCCATCAATACGGCAGGCTCTCGCTCCCGCAGCCTGTCCTTGGCTGGGAGTCGGGTGATGGATTTCCGGAGGTGATGCAGGAGAGCGTGAGGAGGGCGGAGTGGACGCATGGAAGAATAGAATATAGATTTCTATAGATTAATCATTTGTCATTCCTGCCACTCGGCGCGCACGCACACACATACACACTCCGCCCCCCCCCCCCCCCCCCCTCAATCTGGGTTCTCCCTTCCGAAGAAGCACGGCTCGCTCTGCCCTTGGACCATGCAACACGGGTGCACACTCACAAACTCACGGGGCACCACAGACACATTCGGAGAGACAGGCGTACGAGCTTGCACATTGCAAAAATCTGAAAACACACAAATTTAGACAAGTGCTTGTCACTGAACCTTCACTCACAGCTCCCCTACCACCAAGAACACACGCACACGGGGGTGCAGGTGTGCACTTACTCCGACATACACACAGGTGCACACAGAGAAGTGCACACATACACAGAAGAGTGCACACCCACCCTTGTATGCACTCCTGCACGCATGCACAGATGCACACTTGTTCTGACACACCACAACCCTCATTGCCATTGCCATTCCCACCTTCTCCCCGTGCTCCCATCTGTCTTCCTTATGGAACCACAAAACATCCAGGGTGGAGG